GGTCACCAGCCCAATGTCACCCCATTTCCTCCTGTTACCATAGGTTTTGAATTTGACTGTTTTGTGGTTGCTAAGGCCATGGCAGCCACCAATCACCACTTCATCCACGAGACCTTTGTGGTTAACAAGCAACAAGTCAAGGAAGGGCATGTGCCTTTCAAGAATGTGTTCCCAAAACTGGGGTGCTGCAGGACTCAGCAATGGGTTTCTCTAATGTGAGAAGCAAAACTGCTCCCCAAGGACTCCTGTTCAGCAGTAGGAAGGGGAAACTGAGGCAGGAAGCCCAGGACCAGCCCCGCAGCGCCCTGCTCACCTTGATGGAAGCACCCGCAAACCGTGCCAGCTGCTTGATGTGCTGCCCCTTCTTCCCGATGATGGCCCCCACCGCCTGCGTCGGGATGAACAAGTTCACAACCTCCTGCTCCAGCACCTGCGAGGACATGGAAGAGCAAGAGGGTCAGGGGAGCAACCAGAGCGCGGGAGGTGGTTGCCCCTCTGCCCACCCCAGGCCTGTGCCCACCCTCCAAGGTGCCCAAGTGAAGACCTGATGGAGGTGGGTGCCAGGAACTTACGGGGTGCTGATGGGGGAAGGTGCCGGCTGTGGGGGCCCCGTACAGACCCGAGAGGTACGCTGAGGAGCTCTACGGTGGGAGAGAAAACGAGGGTCAGCGACATCCCCAACATGCCAGTCTCTTCCCAGCCAGCCCCAGCCTGACGCAGAGCAGTGTGCCACCACCCTGAGCCTGGCAGGGACACAGGGACAACCCCTGGAACACCTCCCAGAGAGCACGGGCGCACCCGAGGGTGCATCAGGGTGAGCTGCAGCCCCGATCCTGTGCCCGCAGCACAGCACGACAGGGCTGGGAGGCGGATGGCAGCTCCCAGTTACTCCCAGTCCCTCCCTGCTGATGTTTTTTGGCTGTGTCTGATAAGTGTTTATAGCAGAAAACTGGCCCCCTACAGCCTTTCAGAGCAGCCACAACCCTGGAAAGCCAAAACCATGCTGTAACCACCATCAGCCCCCATGGAGAAGGTGAGAACCAAGCAAAACATTTGGTTTGGCTCCAATTTCCATCCCCATTTCCCTTCTCCAGTTCCAAGAGGAGTAAAAGCAAAGCCTAAAGATGATGTTCTCCCAAGACCTGGGCTGGGGATAGGGAGAAAGCAGTGGGTCTCTCCAAGGCCAAAAGCAAGGGCTCCAAAGCCAGCACCCCAACCCAACTCAACACAACCCAACCCAACTCCTCATCAACTCTTCTGTTCCTCAAATACATCAGACATTTCTCCTGGCAGCAGACACAACTCTCCCACTCTGGATTTGGGCAGGTGCAACCAGATGTGACCTGCAAACCACGGTTACTCAGGGTTTAGAGGTGGAATTGGCAGTGTTGGATTTATGGTTGGACTTGATGATCTTAAAGGTCTTTTCTAACCACTACGATTCTGTGGGTGGAGAAGACCCAGCGCTATGGCCCACGGCAGACACCACTCTGGCTCCCAGCCCTCTAATGAAACCCACTGTGTTGAGGTTTTGTGCTCCTCCTCACACTGAGCTCATGCTCCTTCTGTCCACAGGTTGTTCCACATCTCCTACACCAATGTGTCCTCTCCTGCCCAGCTGGGGTGGAGATCGCACCTCCCCAGCTCTCCTTGTTCACTGTGAGGCTCCTTCCTCATCCTCCATCCTTGCCCCAGGTCTCTAGAGCTCCAGAGTTCCAGCTACAGCCACCAGCCCCAGGTCCTGCCGAGGACACAGTGAGAAATGAACCACTGAAGTGTGAAACACGAAGTACTTGGGGGGAAGGAGCTGCCACAGAGCCAAGCTGGTTTCCAATAAGGTGTATTTTTTGCCAGCTCCTGGTTTTACTATAAAAAATGATGGCAGAGCCAATTGCTCCTCTTGGCCTCACCAAGGTGGCCTGACACAAAGCTTTGGGGTGAAGGAGCCCACACCAAATGCTGCCCTTCAGAACACTAGCACAGCTCCTCTCCATCACCCCAACAAATGCTCAAGCAGATGATTCCTGAAGCCTGTGCTCACTTGGGGAACAAGGCAGAGCATCCACCCCTCCGCGGGCTGGCAGTGCACGGACAGACCAACCAACCAACCCTCTGGGTGCCCTCCAGGGCCACCACACCCACGGCGTTCATCCACCCCTCGGCACCGCCAGCCCAGCACTCACCGTTCTCCTCCGACCGCTCTGCTGCTGGCGTCGCCAGGAAAAAAAAACAGTGAAAGTAAATGAACCCGTGAGCCGGTCAGCACCCGGCCAAAGAGCTCAGCAGGAGTATTTGGAGAGACCAACACGGACAGAGCTCAGTCATCCCAAGGGTGCCCTGCAGGTGCTCCTGGGTCGGGGATGGACCTTCTCCACGAGCACTTTGGCCAGCATGTTTTCCTGACACTGGACCGTCTCTGCCTGCGTGTAACCTCAGTGGTTCTGAAACTGCTTCCTACAGAGGAAGACCTTTGTCTATGAAGTCAGGAGTATTTGGAGAGACCAACACGGACAGAGCTCAGTCATCCCAAGGGTGCCCTGCAGGTGCTCCTGGGTCGGGGATGGACCTTCTCCACGAGCACTTTGGCCAGCATGTTTTCCTGACACTGGACCGTCTCTGCCTGCGTGTAACCTCAGTGGTTCTGAAACTGCTTCCTACAGAGGAAGACCTTTGTCTATGAAGTTGGGTGAAGATCAGCTCCCAGCAAGCACAGCCCTTCAGGTGCTAGGGCAGGGATCAAAGCTGATGGTGGTGGTGGCATGGGGTGTGCTGCTTGGCCCCTCTCACCCCATGCTCTGCATATCCTGTGGCAATGCCAGTAGGTTCAGGTGGCTACTAAGACCAGACCCACAGGGCACAACCGAGTCCACACCATCACAAACCAGATGGGTTTGGGGTCAGGACTGAAGGCCACCTCCATGGTTTTGTCCCCAGCCACCTTCAGAGAGCAGCACCCTTAAACACAGGTGAAACTGAGCTCAGCACAACATGGGGATGCAGCGGATCTTCCCGGGGAGCTAAATCCAAGGAGGGACAAGCCACCTTCATTCACTGTCTTCTCCATTTTGCTGCTGTCATGAGCATCTTCCCCAAATGGCCAGGAGTCAGAGCTCTTGCTCAAGGCTCCCCATGACATGGCTCCTATACCTATGGTGTCCACCCAAACCCAAGAGGTACAGCAAGAGAGTCTAGAGACCACTCTGCCCCCAAGAACACGTCTCCTGTACCCCAAAACCTCTTGCACTTACTGCAAATGGGTGGTACGGGGTGGCTGCTGCCGCTCCTCGGGTCCCCGTGGTGGATGGAAGCATGGACAGCCCCGTCGAGAAGATGCCCAAAGCACTGAGGTTCAGTCCTGGGATCAGGTTGGCTTGTTGCTGGGAAAACAAAGACATGGAGAAAGGTGTAAAAGGCAGAGTGGGGTTTTGGGTTTCTCACCACATAGTGTGGACATGATGGGTGAGGGCCAACCCTTGCCATCAATAGATCAATTTCCCCCCCAGTTTTCTTCTGGCCACCTCAGCAGTGGCTCTGAAGCAGGGGCATCCCAGGCGGGAGGGCTGGGAGCTTACATTGATGGCCACCACGTCATTCTCGTAGGCCTCTCGCAACTTCTTCATGATCTCCACTTCGGCACTGGAGCACGCCTCCGTGCTGCCCTTCACTGTGATGGTCCGCTCGGGGTTATAAATGGTTAAATCCTGCAAACTACCCCACAGATAAATCCCGAGACGTAGTTATGGTTTTTTTCAAGTCAACAAAAAAAGGAAAACTCAAATCAAAGATGAGGGTTCCCCCCTGAGACAGCGTGGGACCACAAGGCCCTTTCCTGGTCCAACACCACCATCGACCTGGGACGAGAAACGCCCACCCGGGATGGGGAACATGCATGGGAGGACACAACTGCTCTCTTTTCTGGCTTTGGTGCTGCCCGTACCACGCTGGATGGCTTGGTGTTCACCAAGACTTACGGGGAGATGGTGATCTTTGTGCCTGTGTCCTGCTCGATCTTCTTGAGGTTGCGGCCCTCCTTGCCAATCAACCTCCCCACCAGACTGTTGTGTGCTAGGATTTTCAAGGGAATTTCTTCTGCTCTAAAACGGATTAAAAAATAAAACCTAAAAGTCCAGCCTGGCCAGGAAACCAGTTTCCAGCAACAGGTACTAATGATGTGATGGAAGGAGCTGAAGAACCACCACCATTTCCCACCACTGTACCTCCTCAGCTTCTGGGGAACAAGAACTTGGGGACTTCCCAAGCCCAGTGGCACATCTATATTTCACGGGGTTTTGTTCTTCAAGCTTGCCGACAGGGTCTTTGGACCCACCTGAGCTTCTGGTCTCTACAGCACTGTCAACCACACCATGGAAAAGTTATAAAGTTTGAAGTTATTACCTGACCCATGATTCTATCCTGAAACTCCAAATGCCAGCAGCTCCCTCAAGGGATGAGGGGAGACAGAAGATGGCTTCTTCTCCACTGATGGTTGAATTTACCACCTCCCTTCCACCAAACCTGCTCATTTTGCCAAGCCAGGGGCACTTACGATTTAGTTTCATCAGCCTCCTTCTGCATGATATCAAGGATCATGCGACACGCTTCGGAGCATCCCTCTGGTGTGGCATGGATGGTGATGGGCTTTTCAGCAGCGCCGGCATTCTCCTTCCGATGGATGTCAACCCTAGGATGAAACAACCAGCAGAGAGAAACCCCCTGAGATGCATCTGGTGTCACAGAAAGGCTTTCAAGAGCTCAGGAGCTGAGCTTGCTATTCACAGAAAAGCTCATTTCAAAACCTGCTCAAGCTTTGGGGTGAACCTGGGTCTTACTGATGTACATCTACCATCACCTGGTCTCATGCAAGCCCAGGTAGTGTTTCGCTTCAGTTGGTTTAGATCAGATTTGAGCTCTGTTCACCTTTATGACCTGAGGTCTGGGAGCTGAGGGATGTCAGTCAACATCAAACAATGCATCAAGAGGAGGCAGAACAAATCCTCAACTGGACAAAGCCCTGAGCAACTTGGTCTATCATCTTTGACACGAGCCCCGCTTGGAGCAGAAGACCGGATTAGAGGTCTCCAGAGGTCCCTTCCAACCTCAACCTCTCTCTGCACAACAACCAGCGTCTGCCACGACTAGTGCATGTCGTTCAGGACAGAGAGACAACTTACCCGTAGGCAGTGTTTGTCATGACACGGAGGCACACGTCAACAACGGCACTTCTACTCACGCCCTTCCACGGGAGACCAGAAAGCTCTCCCTTGTGCACCAGCAGGGACCATGCTCTAGCTCCTCTGGTCCTCCCCTCAGCGCATGGCGGGGAGGAGGCACGTGCCTCCAGCTCGCTCCTCACCGCTCAACCGTACCTGGCAAAGGCCCTGAGAGAGAGGGAGAGAGGAAAGCAGGGTAGGAGACTCCTGCATGTCAACCACATGTCTTGAAGAACAGGGGCAAGCACCCTTTCCATCTTCTCCACGTGAGTCCATGTGCTCCTCCCACCAGAGGATGATGCCATGCAGCCATCCTGCCATCAGCCACCACCACACGGTCCCTTTCAATGCTGCATCCAGGGCTGGGCTGGCCCAGATCTTCTGAGAAGGTGCAGTAGTGGCTGGTCAGCCACTCAGTGAATGCCATCAGCGCTCATCTCCAACACAGTGCCCTCCAGCCATGTCTCTGTTTTCGTAAGAGGTCCCCATACTGACCAGGATCATTCATGGGTGCTGTTGTGCATGAAAGCCCAAGAGTTGTGGTGCAGCGTCACCCCTAACCAGCAACATGGATGCTACAGGGTCTCAGTGGGTTTGCAAAGGTCAGCTCTTCCAGGAGCTCATGAATCAGTGCATAGGAACAAGGATGCTTCATCTACAGGCAGATGGGGAGCAGCTGGGTAAAGCTTCTCTGAGATAATGGAAAAGAGTGACACCACCATCTTCAAAAGGGACCTCAAAGTGGTTTCATCTGCACATTGAAGAGGGAATGGAGTTTAATCTCCTTTCCAAGCTACATTTCTCCAGATCTCCTATGGCTTCAACCAGAGCTGCTCAGGCAGGAGACAGGTCCTCCTTGGACTGGGCAAAGAGGCACTGGAGACACCAGCACCACCGGGCTGTCCCTGCCCTTCAGTTATGTCTACAGCACACAGTGACCCAGTTGTGTGCTGTCACTTGTGTGTGACACCCTCTAAGGTGCTCCCAGCTGAGGAGATCCAACAGGTTGACTTGAAGGACATCTTCCTTCAGAGGCAGTGCCCAGTAGGCACAGGGACACCCAATGACACGCCCTCCACCAGGGAGATGGCAAACACATCACGACGTGCCACGAGAAATTATGACAGTCCCATGCTCCAAAGTGGTGGCACAATGTTGTGCCAGGTTGATGCTCCCAGCTAAGGGGAACTGATGAGGAATCTACGGCTGCCCTAACAAACCCCACAGACAGGAGTCAGGCAGCTTCTGGAACCCACGTGCAGCTGAGGCTGGTGGAGGTGGGGATGCAGCTGAGACTTTGTCCTGAAGAGGGACCAAGAGCCACAGATGGGTTGAATGGACACACCAAAGTGACGAGTACCCTGGACAAGCCCAGGAGAGAGACACGGGTCAAGTTTCTGGCTGACCTACAACCCATCCCAAACCCAGATATGCAGGCACAAGCACAGTTTGCAGAGAGAAGATGATGAGCCAGGAAGAGGACACTGCATTCAAGCATGTCCTGCCCTGAAGAGTTGGAGGGTGGAGGAGGGATGGTGGGACAGGGACAGGGCAGATTTGCTCAAGGTGCAACAGGAAAAATCCTCCCAGACACTTTATAGGGCTGGGAACGCTTTAGAGAATGGTGGCCATGATGGACAGCATGAGTGGGTGGATGGTACAGTGTCCACGTAGGGTTATCCTGGCCCTGTGGCTGCTCGGCAGCAATCGTCCTCTCTCCTCATCAAACTACAAAGGCTGCAATCACTGTGGAAGGTCCTCTGGTGGGGTGGGCTCCTTTTCAGCCAAGGAAGAGGATGGCTCAACCTGGAGCAAGTTTTGTCCCCTGGAGCTCAGAAGCATCACTGGGCATCACTGAGTGTGGAGACAGAGTTGATGTCCTCCATGAACAGAGGACTCCAGGACCCAACGTCGCTCTGGGTAGGAGCAGGGGCTGGGCAACAGGATGTCACCCGCACCCTGGTCCCCAGGATCAGCACATCAGTGGGTGAGAGTGGCCTGAGCAGGCACAGAGCTGCAAGCTGACACCTCAAACCAAAGGCAATGGTCTCCTGCGACTACCTGGGCTGGGTGCACGAGGTTCTCCTTAGTCCAAGGCTGGAGCAGAGGTAGTGGCTCACCATGGCAGATGTCCTCCTCAGGCAGGCTAGGAGAGGTGAGAGCATGGAGCACAGCCTTCCTCCATGGCACCAGGTCTTCAGGTCAGGCACAAGGAGCCAATCCGCAAGGAGGGATGGCTCGGTGGCAGAAGCTGCCCCAGACAGCAGCATTTGGCCTCACGATCAGAGGAAACCATCAGCTGGCACCTCCCACATTCCTCAACAGGCTCAGGGCTTGCACAGGGCAACCTTCCAGTCTTGAGTGGCAAGGACACAGCTGCACCCACTTCTCATCACACCAGGGGACTCACCTGGAGAAGAAGGGCTTGCAGGCAATCGAGACCAGCTCACAGTTACTAGGTGGCCAGGTTCTAGGGCTGGCTGGGCTTGAAGAGCTCCTCTCCCTACGCATCTGCCCCCTTTCTGTACAAACCTCTCCCTGCAAACCCAGTGCTGGGGTTCAGCTCACTTGGCTGCAGAGCGGTGCGTCTTGCTACCTCCTGCTCAAGCAGATGTGCTATTACCAAATAATTTGCCTCTAAAAGCTTCTCTGAGAACTAAGGTTCCCTGAAGGATGTTCTGGTACAGCAGTCCTACGTCCTGTGGGATCACCGGGTTCAGGATGATGAGCATGGGAGAAGACAGCGTTGGGTTAAACACAAACAAATCTGGGCAGGAATAAACCATGCAGGAAAACCATGCAGAAAATCAGAGGTGAAATCAATGTGAACATCGGCAAGAGAAACATGGAAAACTTTGGCAAGCCAGTCCCCTCCTTTTTTTTTTTTCCCTCTCCTTCAAAAATAAAAATGTTAGATTGAAAAAAAAAAAAAA